AGCAGAATTTGTGCTTGGACTGTATTTTTCATGATGATCTCGCAAGGGCAGCTCAGCTGGTATCCCTACAAATCACTACTGAATTATGTACATTCCTGGACACATCACTACCTACACCGATACATATCCAGGTTATATTTTATACATTGTTAACTAATAAAACATCTGCACTTGTGTACCGGAGTATCAGGAACTGCTACGTGGAAGGCAGAGGTGGGATGTGTACAACTCTACCCCCTACAGACATTTGACTCTGCAGTTTGGAAGCAGGTCAAGCTCTTTTCTCTCCTTGAAAGTTTTAAGTGAAATTATTTTGATAGAGAAAGAACGGTGGGCAGGGAAAAAGGAGTCATAGAGGTAGCTTCCTACATGCAGGGCCCAACCAAACATGAGATTAATGCAGCCATTTGGGGCACATTCTAAGCATTTCTCTGTAAATATATGCTCCAAATATCCGTAAGAGTTTAAAAATGTTTAAGACCCGTGTAAAAAATGGAGGGGGAGGAGACTGGAACATACTATGTTTCGGTTTGTGTAAAATCAAAGATTGATCGCCAGAAAAAAAAAAAAACACCCTGCACCAAATGTCCTATCAACACTGAAGAACACAAATTTGAACATAAGACTATTTATGTTATAAAACATACTTAAACCACTATTTTTATTACTTTAAAAGCTCGTAAAAAATACCCTGAAAATGGCAGGTGCAAGCAATTACTTTGTAAGAAAATAAAGCAATTAATATATCCTGGTGTTTTAAAAAAAACACAAAATTATTTGAAGCTGATAGCTACAGTGTCCCAGCCCTTCTTCATTCTTGTCGACAAAATGACATCTAATTTAAAAAGCATCCTCAATGATTTTGCCAACTCTAACTAAGAAAAAAAAAATCACAGTACAGCAGCAAATCTATCCTTTATTTCCCTGACAGGTAAATTAAAATAAAGATCCTTTTAAAATGAAAATCTATTAAATATATTTTGTTGGATGAATTTATACATTTAGTAAAGCTTGCAACAAACAATTGTACATTTTTCTCACCGCTTTTTTTTTTTAGTTCATTGAGGTCTTCCTGCAATTTCTTCTTTGAAAAGCAACTAGTACAATTCCCAAGTCTTTCTTTTTTTTTTTTAATGTTAGCTATTTTAAAGCTCAATCTTTAGTCTTATAAAGAAGCATCACCAAAGAAAAAACTAATTACTTTGCAACAACTTGATTAAAGCTGCACCATGGCAACATGAGTATATTCATGAAAAACCTACTGTATATTTTTCAAATAAAAATATTTTAATCTCACACCATGTAACACACTAGCTCAGAATTGAACAGTCTGAAATTCTGCTTTGGTCAAAATTCAGTGAAGCCTAATACACTCAATTATTTAATAAAACATTTGTTGTCTTTTTATGGATTTCTGTTTAATTCCTTCTATAGAAGGAATATACATGGACTGGAGGAAACTCCATGACTACCACTTTATGGTATTGTGTAACATTGGATGGAAAAATTTAGATAACCTCTTGATAGTTCTGTAAAACAATCATTTAAAGAAGACTTTTGAAATGCAAAATAGGAAAAGAAATGCATTATCACTAAATAAATACTGCAAACACTAAGCCTATAACAGCAATGGAATCAGAACATAAAATCTTGTAGCATATATGTTCTTATGATTGTAGTATTTAATAAGCACTGACATGACACAGAAGACCAATTTTCCTTTTAAAAAATGAAGCCTGTCCTTCTTATAGTGATATATAAGAGATTAAAATAATTAGAGAGGAATATAATCCAGTGAGTAAGAATGAATATTTCATTGTTAATCTAAATGCAAGGAGAAAATCCAATTCTCTTAAAAGGAACCTACAAAACCTAGGAGCTAAACACGTTAGAATATAAGAAACGTACAAAAAGATTCTATGTTTTGATTTTTTTTTTAGATACTTTCACAAACAGAGTGAATGTGTAAGTGAAAGAAAATTACACTCTCCAAATGCAAATTGTTTCTAAAAGTTTAAGGCATTCCTCAAGAAACGTATGAGTGAATAGCACTTCAGCTTCAAAAACAAAAATAAAGAGGTATTCACAAATTTTTACTAGAAAATAACCAGTTCCAACAGTACAGCTAAGATTTTTGAATGTTTGCTTTAAATGACACCTTCTTTACTAAAATGTGCAAAATCATATTGTGATTTTAGTGAATAAAACAAAGCATTGAACAAGAAAAAATCTTTAATTTACAAAACCACATTACCAGTTGTATATAATAATGAGAAGAGTCTTCCAAAAGTAACAGAAAAGGCACAGACTTGATATAAAATGAATACTATATTAGAAAACACGAATTGATATTGGGACTTGGAGCTGGAGAGCAGGGAAACTCACTTCCTTCCAGAAAGCAAACTTCTCACATCAATTTTTACTCCATTTTCAGACTGGGTCTTTGTTGAGAAAGCTGTGATCTTTACCTATGTGCAAAAGGATACACATGCTGCAGCTAAAGAGATGCAACTGAAAACAGAAAAATTGCAGTAACATAGTGATATTCAATAGGTCGAATAATCTTATCTCCCGATTATCCATTTAAAATACATTGAAGCTTGTCTGCCTTTTGTTTCTGTGGGTTTAAATCATTAACAGTGTTCACTAAAATACCTTCTAATCATGGGTATTTGCTTCATTTCTGGGAAGGCAGCAGCAATCGTCACTTTACACAAAATAAAATGTGACTCTTACATGTTGACCCTTCCATGCAGTGCATTTTAAATGGCAGTCTGACTTAGATCCAACAAATTCTTTCTACCCATGTTCACTTATGAAGGATGTAGCGTGTCTACAGAACCCACGTTAAAAACATTAATGTATCTTTACATGCTTAAATTATACTGAGAAAGAGTAAAGTTTTCTTTTTCCTCCTCCTGTTCGTTAATATACTGCTGCAATCTGTATTTACCACCTATCCAAATGCAATATACTGAATAATTTAGAAGTTTCAACATTTAACATGTAGTCACTTTGTGATCAGGAGTTTGCGTGTTCTGTGTATTTACGTGTTATGCACGTCCAGGTAGCAGCATCAGAGGTCATGTCAGTGCATCTCCTGGACACCATGCCTCTTCATAGGTTGTGCTATTTTCTTTTATGCAAACATAATTACAAATTTTGTAGTTCTTTAGACCACAAAGAAAGGGGAAAGTAATTCCACCAACTATTGTATTCATTTTTTTGCTTTTAATTGTATTATCACCTTTGAAGACTTTGGTAAATTCCACTTAACCAGCAGCAATGGATAAAATTGGTGGTTTTCAAGTACTGCTTCTGTTACTAGTGTTGGCATTTAAATGTTAATTTCAGACTGAGGTTTACAGTAAACATGAAACAAGGGATTTTCTTTGAATGAACAATCTCAAACCAAAATTCTACATAAAGGAATCCTAGCACAGGATGTTTTCCAGTGCAGTGATTATTTCCTTTTAAAGATTTAACATTCCCTAAGTGATAGAAGTTAAAGATTTAAATGTGACAGTTAATTTATAATACTCTACATTAAAAAAGCATTTAAATGTTAACCACATTTTTATATGAGTCAAGTCAAAGTAATGATAATTACAGTATGATACAAAAGAACCTGAAATAAACTTCTAGCAAACCATATTGAATATTAATGCCGTATTAAGCCCTGAAAAGCTGGGTTAGTAAACTCTGGAATTTAGATTACATGCAATTTAAACGTAATGCAGGGGTTTTCTTCAAACAAGAATGCTTCGTTTCAAAGTTTGGATTTTTACGAGGTATGTATTAATTCATTGGATTTGTATTAAATACATTTATATAGCATCACTCCAAGACGAAGCCTCAGATTCCCTTTCTTCTATAGGCATATTTCTATGTAGGATTTGCTAAATTAACATTCCATATAAATTAATAGCCTTTTTTCATGTTTGTTGTGTTACAATCAGCAGTGTGATACTGTGTTGTGTCACAGGTCACATTTATTTGATTTCAATTTAGGAATGGTATCTGTACTACATATTAAATACGAGAAACAACATGCTGAATTTCCCATCAAATCTCTTAAATGTAGAGCTATTTTAGATGGGTTTGTATAAACAAAACACATATATTCTAATATAGGCGTGGGAAAGGAAAAGCTGGTTTGTTATATGCTAAAGCAAATTGGAGTAAATCAACCGCATCCGTGGGCTGGATAAGCAATACTACTCTGCTTTTCCCAGTACCATTTGGACAAGACAATGTTACTTTTTTATTTAAAGTGTTTTCTTCTCAACAAGGGGCCACCACTTCCCAATCTCAAAAACACGCCCCAGAATATGTTAATTGTATTGTGTCTCTGAAAGAAAGAGGTTGCCAAATGCAATAAAAAAAAAAAAGTCTTTCGATCAGTGAGCTGCATTCCCACTCCTAGTTACCATCTCATTTCAATTCCACATATATATACATAGATACATTTCCTGCAGGTACAACTTTGACCATTAAAAGCTGTCTAAGTGCAAAAGTCTAACTTGACCACATAGGGTGTATCTGGGAAGCTTAACATTCCTGGTGAATTAAGCGCACAAGGCTCGGATCATTTTTTGTCAATCTTACTCTGGTACTTCAGAGTCGGGAATGTGGGTAATTTTTATAACATGGTACTTCCCAATTAAAAGTAACAACAATGCTCCTTTGTGAAAAAAAATTAATATATAAAATATGTCAACACATTCCACACAAATACAAAGTAAAGACTAATGAAGAATGGCAACAAAAGATCTCTCCCTATTTTTTTAATCCTCCCTTTTAGTAAGATAGTTTTCAAATAGCGATATATTTTAGTAAATACAAGAGTATTAAATGTCCTTTTGAATGACGCTTTCTAAATTTGTAGTAACCTTCTGAAAATTCTCAAGCAGCAATCAAGACCAAATGCATCTCCGGAATACCCAAGTAGGACAAGTAAAACAAAACAAAAATCTTTCTTTCCTCGATCTTACAGCTAATGCCTTTAGATATTACCAGGGTGGTGTTTTCCTATTAAATGTTACTTGCATCTTCAGCTTTCGAATAATATGAATGCTTTTTACTATCTAAACTGAATTGAGCTTTTATTTGGAGGAGTCCCACAAAAGCCTGCAAGTTTTCCAAGAGTGAAAGAGAAGTCCCAAACGGTATTATCTGAAACAATGACTGCAAGCATGCAACTTCCCAAGTGGGGGGGGGGGTTAGAAGAGTCACTTCAGAATAATTTTCAGCTACGTAATATCCATAAACATCATCCTTTAACTTCTTCTACTTACTGCTCACGATCTACGCAAACCACTAATTTTTTGGCATATATTTAATTTTTTTTAAAAATAAAAAAATAAAAATCTAGAAATCACTTATAGTATTTTAAAATAAATTCACAAGCACTTGGAAATAACTTGCTAAAAATAATCACAGTTCTCCTAGAAAGCAACTTCTTAAAATAACTAGTTTTCTAGAAATTCTTTCCTCATCACATATACGAATCTCTACCCGGTTTAATTTAATCTTTCAGAAACAATGTGCAAATACGTATTTTTTCCCTTAGATGATCAAGGGCATTTGTTGGGAATTTTCTTGAACATCAAGTTAGTCAATTCTTCCTCTATCTAAATACATGAGAAAGTTCAGGTCTGAAATGGTATACTGAAAAAAACTAATTTCCAAATATTTTCATGGCAAAAAAGTGCAACCAACACTTTTCCCACAAAACAAATCTTTAAAAATCTCAAACCAACATAAAACAATCACTTGGGGGAAAAAAAAAATCCATCGTGGTGCTTATATGAAAAACAGGATAAGAATAATCTTCGTTTTTATAGACAGCCTGTTAAGAACAGTTCCTTCCAAAATTCTCTTTGGCTACATTTATTAATCCAAATCCAGTGGGTCGGAGCAGTTTTTCCCAATTTCTTTAACAAGTCCTGTTCTAAAATCCACCCAGAAACAGATGTTACTTTATGTACAATTCCGCTGCGGTAGTGGGGGGGGGGGGGTTTACCTTACAAGTAACACGTGAGCTACAGCCTCACGGAGCTCCCTCAGCGGATGGCACTTCTAAAGGCTCCTCTCTACTCATGTGCCCGGTTTCTCGCCGGGTGCCCCTGCGCCGCTGCCTGCGAGCACTCAGCGTGCGGGGCCGGGAGCTTTCCCTCCTCCCCGCCGGGCGGGAAGCGGCGCGAAAAGAGGCGGCCGGGGAACAATGGGGAGCGCCGGGAGCACTGGGAGCCCCAGCCGCGCTTCCTCCGGCCCCGCTGCCGCTTCCTGCGGGATCGCTCACCGCTTCGCTCCCTGGGGCAGCCTGCCCGGAGCCCGCCCCGCTGCCGAGAGACCCCCGCTCACCCTTGGAGTGCCCCGTGCCCGCGCCGCGCCGAGGGCACCCACGAGTTTACTCTCCCGGCCGCTCGCTCGCCCCCGGGGCTCTCCCGCCCCCGCAGGGCGAGCGGGACTGCCCGGCTGGCTCGGCGCCAGCCCCGCTCCCGAACCTATCCCGGGGTCGGGCGGGCGGCCTATGGGAGCCGTGATCCCGCTGCCCCGGGCTCCTGCCCCGCATGCCGCGAGCACTGCCCGCAGGAGAGCAGCAGCACTACAGAGGCGCCGCGGCCCCGCTGCACCGCGCGCTCCCTCCCTTCAGGGGACGGTGCTGCGCACAAAGGGCGGCTCAGCATTGTTCTCCTCCCTGACCCCCAAATCCCCTCTTCCCCGCCGGGAGAGGCGAACTGCAAGGGCCGGGAAGAAGGGCAAAGATGGGGAGAGGCCAACTGCCCGCGGCGCCGGCCGCTTCCCAGGGTATCCCGCCATCTTCGCCAAGCTCGCCCTCGTGCCGTGCCTGCCGTCGAAGCCCTCCTGCCCGCCATCCTTCGTTCCCTACTCGCAATTTAGTGGGTCTTGCATATGTCACTTTGCCTAAAAATCCCGCCGTGGCTCCAAAGGCACCTCTCTCCACATCCCAGCCACCCAAGCCTCCTTAAGCTTCCACACGGGATCACCCGCTTCACATAACCCAAGGAGGAAAAAACCCCAACTCTACCAATGCAAGGTATTATTTGAGGGGGTTGTCCTCAAATTCACAAAAACTGTTCTGCTTTTTAACCTTGATGGGCTTGTTTAGGTGACCAGGCAATATTTAAGCTACAGCGCTGCCTCCTTTGCCACCTGCGACCCACAGCCTAGTGCGTTCCTGGCCTCAGGCTCGGAACACCATGGAGCAGACACCGAGACACACGGGATCCAGCGGAAAACTCAAAGCATGCAAGGAAGGAAGCGGGAGCTATAGCACGACACTAAGGAAAAACCATGGCTCGATTTAAATAATTGCATAATATTAGGATTTAACTTATAAATGTTTACATTTGTGTGATTTGATTAATGTCACGTTTGATTTCCTTAAAGCCACTGACAAGGTACTTTAAAACACGAGATTAACGTCTACTAGCGATGAAATTCAACAGGCAAATCCTCTTCCCAGCGCCCCAGCTCCCACAACACCCAGGCAAGCAGGGACCTCAGACCCCCTTCCTGCCCCACCACCCCCGCCACAGCCAAGGAGGCTCCCCCCGCATCCTGTGGCCAGGGTCCTCCCCCCGGCAGCTGACGGGATTCCCGGCCGGTCCCTTCCCCGGCACCCGCCGCCCCGCGCGTGGCTCCGCCAGCGCTCCCGTTCGAACGCGGCCAGGCCCGCCTCTGCCCCGCCCCCGGCCGGCCGTTCCCGCCGCCGCCACCGGGACACCCCGATCCCGCCTCGGCGCTTCCCGAGGGAGGCGCCGCCGCTCCCGGGTTCTCCCGGGACCCCAAGAGGGGGGATGGGGGGGAGGGGGAGGCGGGAGCTGGCAGGAGGCTCGAGCGCGGCACGAGCGCGGCCGGCGCGCGGCATTGTGGGAAGGAAGGTGTCGGGGCGGCAGAGGAAGCGGCGGGCGGGGGTGGGGGGGTGAAAGGTCAGCGGCCGAGAGCCCCCGCGCCAATGGCGGGCGGGCTGAGCTGGTGCCTCGCGGCGGGCCGGGGCCGGGCCGCCCTCCGCGGCTGCGAACACCGGGCGCGTGTGCGTGCGTGCCCGTGTTGTCTGTCTGTCCGCGTGTGCCCGTGTGTCCTGGGCCGCCGCCGCCCTTTGTAACGGTCCGCGCGGGGTTTGCTCGCCCCCAGCCCCTCCCCCACCGCGCTTCCACGCGATTTATGGGATTTGCGAATAATTCGAGGGGCTTTTTCTCCCCCACACCACTCCCATCCCCTCCCCCCGCTCTCAGCTCCTAACCTCTGCTTCCTCTCCCGCTGCCCCGGCAGTCACCGGGGAGCTCCGTCCTCGCCGGCAGCGCGGGGCCGGGCAGACCCCGCACACAAAGGTCCCGATCCCGCTCCCGCCGGCCGCCGTTCGCGGGGGATCTCCGGCAAGTCCACAGCCATGAATTCTGCAGCTCCTGCCCGCGGCAGGCTCCAGCGGCGAACGGGGGGTGACTTGAACCGCCCCGCAACTTTCTCTCCGTCCCCCGCACCCCCGTCCTGCCGCCGAAGGTAAAGTTGGAGCCGGTCCCCCCCCCCCGCCAGCCCCTCGCAGCGAGGCTCAAACGGAGGAGGAAAATGTGAAATGTTAACACGGAGAAGTGGTTCCCTTTGTTCTTTCATTGTTTCTACCCGAACTGGCGGATACAAGGATAAACACTTACCTTCTCTCCTTTTTGCTCCAAAATACACACGTTCCCATCAGCCTTAAAATGCACGGTCCACTTTGGAAGCGACTACAAATGTCGGGAGAGTTTGTATTCCATTCTTTTACGCTCTCTACTCTTTTTAGCGTAAGATTAAGTTGCCGAGCACGTTGTTGCAAGCCCCCCGCCTTAGTGAATGGTCACGTTTAGGACCCTCCAAGTCCATCCTAATTCTGCCAGTAGAATTGAGGGTATTGGAGGTCTAAACTTTCAAAAGGAAAAGGGCCTGCATCTATGGAGCAGACCTGAAAATGCACTCGGTTCCTCACTCGCTTCCACAAAATGGATATTAACATCTCACCCCAAACAACTCAACGAAATATACATTTTAAAGCTTGAATGAAGAAAAGCTGTTCCCTCGGCTGAGATAAGCTAAAAGCAAATTGTCATGAAGAAAATCTGCCTCAGTATATTCCGCAGCAGAAACAGTCTCTGTCTGGAGTTTAAAACAAACAAATAAATAAGAGCATCGTATAGAAATATTAAGCATAAAGTTTGAAGGGAAAAAGCCTCTGAGAGGAACATGCTACCCAGAGTGGAATGGGGAGAATCACAGCTTTTTAAAGTGTCCTTTTCTTGCAAAAATTACTGCTTTTCATTTTTCTCCTGTGCAACCAAGCCTGGAGGAGATAAACCAGTTTTCTGCTTTCTTTGTAGTCCAGTCGATGTTTCGCACCCAGAAACACAGGCAGTCCCCCCCTAAACCTTGCTTTAATCTGATTATGATGAGATTTGCTGATACAATGAATATTTGAAATGATCCTTGTGTCTTAGTGAGCGGGAAGCACTTCCAGGCTCCCGTTTCCAAGGCTCCCCACCAGAGAGGGAAGAGGAGCGGTGGGGAGACCCCGCTCCCCGAGGCCCCAGCGGGGTGGCAGCGGTGGGGGGGTGGACACAGCCCCTTCCTCCAGTGCCCAGGGGCGCCGGATTAATTCAGCCCAACTCCCTCAGTCAGTGGTTGGAGCGGGATCCTTAAGTGCCTTTTCCCCCTGCATCATCACGCCTTTTCCAATTGAAAAATAAACAAATAATAGTAAAATAAATTTAAAAAAAAAAAAAAAGAAAGAGTATGCAGGCGACCCAAGTAATTGTGGGACCGGGAGTGCATGTTGTCTCACACCCCCTCTCCTCCTCCTCCTCCTCCTCCCCCTCCTCCCCCTCCTCCCGATGTGGCCTTAATGGCAAACTGGAAGGCCGGTTTATTTCATAGGGCCATATTACAACCAACAAGGTAAATAGGGAGTCGTGGGGAAGAAGGAGGGAGGGGAGAGGGAGGGAGAGGGGCTTTTCTTTGATAGCATTTAATTGGAATTGAAACATTCTGGGGCTGTAAACATTCTTTATTTATTCAGCACACATAAGCGGGCATTGTTTTATCACCATCATAATTATGGTGTCCTTTAAACTGACTGATAGCAAAGAAGATAAGGGAATGCGCCTGTAGCTCCAGATCAAATCGCTGGCTGTCCCCTCTCCCCATGTCTCCAGGATCCACACAGTCCTTGGAGATGAGGAGAGCCGGAAGATTGTGGCCTGGCCATCCCTTACGTCATGAAAGTGATTTGTACCACATTGCTAATTTGGTGCAATTCATAATCTCCTGATAGTCTTCATTTTCAACTGCTTTTCAGTTTGCAGGGTACGTTTTTTAAGATGTAGTTTCCCAGAGCAGAAATTAAGAGCGATAACCTATGTGCAGGAGAGGATCTTATTTCCCAATGTTTGTTGCTTTACCTTTGTCTAATTAAAAATGCAAACTTTTAGGATCCTTTCAGAACAAAGCCTCACCAAATCCCCTTTACGTCCAAGGATTTGCAAATTTATAAAGGCTGCATTGAATTCAGCATGGGTCAAGGGGCAAAAAAAGGGTAGAAGGTCACTGCATTTTGATTATGGGTCAGTAAACAACATGGCATGTAGTATGTGTCCAGAAACTCCTGCTAAAAAGTATTTTTAAACTACCACGAGTATTAAACTCGAGAAATAGTCTTAGCTCATGGTGATTATAAATTGCACAAAATTCTAGTGTGCAAGAAACATTCCAGCCCCCCCCCCAAAAAACCAACAAAAAAACAAAACAAAAACTTAAAAAGCACTTAGTAGAACCCTGCATTGCGTCTTTGTTTACCAAAAAAAAAAAAAGAGAGAGAGAAAAAGAAAAGAAAGGAAAAAACAACCCTGAAACTCCTAGGCATAAGAGTGTTAACCAGATTATGATTTTTTTTTTTTTTCTGGACTGGTGGCTGGTATTTCTTTGTGCCACACATTTAGGAGATTTAGTTATACATTCTGATACATTGTCAGAGTAGAATTTACAGCAAATGTTAGGTACTACAGTCACATTTGGCTGACTTTAAAATAGCAGAAGGATCCTATTATATTGTTCTTTGACCCTATTATATTTACGTTACTGGACTCTTTGTGATAGCCTCTAGCTGCTCTCTATCTGTGTCCTCCTTGAGCAAAATATGCCCAGCAGTACCTAGAAGCAGAGTGTAGCGTTAGAAATCAAGTTTTCATGTGAAATATGTATTTCTGCCCAGCATCATGAAAGCAAAAGGTTTATTTAATGCTTGTCAGTACCTGAAGACGTTGTCCAGCATTAACAAATAATAATAAATAATAATAATACTCTAATAATGTGGCAATCCTAGTGTTAAAATGCATATGACCTCTTAGGTTTTCCTGAAGATTTTCAAAAGAATTCTCCCCATTAGTACAACTGGTGGTGGACGTCGCTGTTGCATTTCCCAACAAAATGTTTAAAAGACTGTAAATGCTATGTGCATTACTACATTGCAGAAGGAAGAGTTCAGATGGAATTGCACTGGTATTTAAACATAATCATACTATGAAAATAAATCATCACATAAAAGGAGTATTTTAAATGTTACACACGTTTTCTTTCTGGAATGACATGGCTAAGCACTTCCCTGTGAGCATACAGATTTTAACACAAGTTTACAAAAATCCAAGTATATGATTTCCAATAAATGGGAATAGGTCTGCAGCAAAGTATTATGAATATTATTTTGCTCTTTCTTTTCTAATGAGGTTTATCCTTAGGCCAGACAGTTTCAAGACTGAAATACTACTGGCTATAGAGTGTAGATTGCAGATTGCACGCTACTCAATGTGAAAAGGAGCACGTTTGATTGATCGCCTCTGTGTGTGTGTGCACCCATACACACAACTCTCTGTAGTTGCATGTGTATGTATTTGGCAAAACCGGGCATCTCTGGGCGTCCTTATCTTATGAAATGTGAGACAAACATCCATCCCTTTAATCATGTTCATCTTTGATCACCAGCGAGAGTGACACAGTCCACAAAATTAACAAAGAAACTCCCTTGCTTTTGAGAAATAGCTACATGTACATCTGGGTCTGCACACACATGCACATGGACACACGAACACGCAGGCATACATCCCAGCAAGTAAATTATGGCATAACTTTTCACGTAATTGACACCAGACACCTTTAATTTTTCATATTCATTCTTTTGACCAGCTTTCACAGTAACCATCTAAACCATAAATGTTGGTGGCTATTGATTGCAATCCCCTGTGTGCGTGCAAATCCATTTTCAAGTCCTCTGCCTTTAATGTGCGTGTGCGTGTGCAAGAGGCCTCTGACGGCTCTTTATCAGGATCTCCCCCAGCCCGCTTGAAGACGACCCCGGATACACAATGTGTGCTAATGGCCAAGGGAAAGCACACACACACACACGCACACGAAAAGAACCAAAACAAAACAAAAGATGGAGAAGTAAAGAAACAAAGCTCTCCGTGTGAGATGCGGAGAAAGATATGCAACCGAAAGTGTGTGTAAGTATACGGTGGGGATGTGTAGGTTGGGCGCCTGACATTTCCCAAGACTTCTGGTGTGTTTCTCCCTGCCGACATCTGGCGCTGCTTCGGCCCCGGTGCTCATGGCCGCACCTTTCGGGAGCCCGAGGTTTGCCGAAGAGCCATCACTAGTTTTAAACGTTTGGTAGCGCCGGAATGAAAGAAAAAAAAAAAAGGCATTTTTAAAATAGTTGCCGAATCCCACTGCCTGGCTGTCACCGGCAGAGCGTGGGTGCAGGTCTGGGCGCCCGTGGCTTCCTGCGTGCGAACGCACGCGTGGATTTACACGGGAATCTGACCCAGCTGAACTACCTGACAAATAAAGGAGTTTTCATCCCATCGGGGTTTTTGGTAACGTCTTCTGAACAGCTTTATCGGAGTTTACAGTTCCTCTACTGTTGACTCCATAGCCTTAACCTTAAAGCAGGGGGAGGAGAGCAGTGGGGAGGGGGTGGGGGTGTTGGCAGCATATAAGTACATCAGGAGGAATTTTTAAACGACCTTATTGTCTCTAGCTCTAGAAAGACCACGATGATTTCTTTTTAGCGCCAGCAGCTGTTTTCTCTCGAAACTTTGCTTTCAGCCTCAGCATATACGAGGGTGCCTCTCACACGAGCGAGCAAGCGAAAGGCAAGGCTGGGGGATCCAGATGCGAGGAGTGGGAAGGCGAACTCCGCGGATGGTCTGAGCTGTGCCGAGGCATTGTTCACTGCTGCCTCTCGGTTACGTTTAAAGGCTGAAATATCACGAGATCCACTCAATGATCCTTTTCTAATTCGAGGGACAAAATGTAATTTGCTGTAGCTCTGCTTTCTCGGATGGGAATACTATCGCTAGGTTTCAAAGGGAAGAACTAGGCATCGCGGTTCGCACACACATGGATTAAGTTGAACAGCGGCGATTACATCTGCGCTGAGAGCAACAGTAGTCCAGGGCTGACTTTTCAAATCTCAGCCCTCCGAGTTAGAGGCTCTCTTGAATAGACTTCCTCCATTCCCGGATGCACTTCTCCAAATTCCCACTTCTCTCTCGAATTCCTGTGAAATTGGGGGCTCGCCTGCATTTTGCCTTGCCATGCAAAACTGCTTTTTCACAGAGTGATTATGCGCTTTCTTTTAGCTGTACCTGACGGGGTAACACGAACTCCACGCACCATATTGCCAACATGCGGAGTGGATATTGAGGTTTGGGATTGAAGATTTTTAATTTTTTTCCCTCCGTCGATTTTTTTGCCAAGTCACAGCAATATGAGATGTCTCATTAATCTCGCGGATGTGTCTAATTCTGGATGTGCAGTGATACATAAAAGTGCTGGTGTTTGTATCCAGCGGAACACTGGATGCACGGCAGAGATTGGTGATCTTTTTTTTCGCAGCGCCTAACGTGCAAACCGCAAGCATCACGTTAACGTGACAAGGGAGAGGCATGCAGCTATCGCAACATTTGCGAAATCCCCGTTCCTGACACTCGAATAATTTAACGTTCCTAAGAAGAGGTTAAACATTCGTGCTGCTTCTTCCAATTGATTTTAAGGGGCTGCTATAAATGGAGCATCAAAAAGCTTCGGCAGGGCTTCTCCGAGCGGAATATGCAAACTGCGAGCCAGAAGCATCCTAGCCCGATGCAATATCGTACATTGTGTGTGCCAGCACTTTTTTGTTATTACGTAAAGGCTCTTGGAAGCACCTTGGATATTTTACATTCTCCTTTCTCTGCTGGAAGCAATCAGCACGCAGGAATCCTGACGTGGGCTCTGGGACTATAGGACATTCCAGCTCGTGATCCAGTACGGTTAATCGTGAAAAGTGTATACATTTCTGGCTTATCTATGCTTTGTTATGGGTCTGACGTGAGCTCACGTCCTCCTCCCCCCTCCCGCAATATTACAGGCAGAATTTCAGTTAAAAGTGTTACAGTATCACGGTGCAGGAACCCGTGATACTCAGACAGCAAAAATAACCTTAGTCCCTGGCTGTAAAAAGCTAATTAAGCAGAAGAGGAAAATCAAGAGAAACTCGAAAATGTAAGTATTCCCTCTCGTTAGCAACCGAACATTTAACTTTGGAGCCTCAGAAGGGGAAATACCAGGCTGTTCTGCACGTTTTCTCTAAGCTTCATTTTCCACACAATGGGGAATAAAACACTAGTTTAAAGCGTCTACGTTACCGAAGGATTTTCCATCGTTACGATCAGACTTATGTCCTTTAAATTCACGGCATGCACAAAAGAGCAACGTTTGTCCAAAACGGGCTGAAAATATACGGAACGATAGGGGGGAAAAGCATACAAATCCTTCCTCGGAAGCTAGAGACGAGGAAGTCTGAGAAGGCTGAGTATGTTTGAGCTCGGATTGTTTAATAGAAAGATTTATATACTAACTGTATTATTTACTTTGGGAGGGGAGGTGGCAGTATAAGGGTATGCTAATTAGTGGGAGATTTTTTGGGGGAAGGGGTGGAATATCAATTTTTATTGCATCACCTGTCAGGAGTGTCCAATCAGCGTTGGCTTTAGGGGAATTAATTGATGAAGGTGTCTCCGGACGAGCTCACTTCACTCTGTCATTTTATTTGTAGCTAAAGCAGCGGCGGGAATAGCAGCTGCATTTCTTTTCTCTTCCTCCCTTCACATTCCATTATCATAGTTTCCAATGGAAAAGCAGGGAATGAAAGGGAACAGGTACTGATCTTCAGAAGCAACTTAGAGAAACACTTTGGCAAACCTGATTTTTAAGATTATATATTGATTGTAGCCTCACGGTATTTTTTAATTTATTTTTTTTTAATTTTGTCTAAAGTTTGGCACTTCATTCACCAGGAATAACAGCCTTTGTTATATTTTATTAGCAGGATGCCTTGAGACAAATACAGCATCTGGCTGAGGATTGTGTGTGTGTGGCTTTTTCTTTTTTTTTTTTCTTTTTTTTCATCTCTCTCTCTCTCTGCAAATGCTGGGAATAATTTAATTCACGAAATGGGAGACCTGAAGTCGGGTTTTGAAGAGGTGGATGGCGTGAGGCTCGGCTACCTCATCATTAAAGGAAAGCAAATGTTTGCACTCTCCCAGGTTTTTACAGACCTGCTCAAAAACATCCCGCGAACTACCGTGCACAAGCGAATGGATCATTTAAAAGTAAAAAAGCATCACTGCGACCTGGAGGAGTTGAGGAAACTCAAAGCCATCAACTCCATCGCTTTCCACGCCGCCAAATGCACCCTGATCTCCAGAGAGGACGTGGAAGCCTTGTACACATCCTGCAAAACCGAACGGGTACTTAAGACGAAACGGAGAAAACTAAGCCGGGCGCTGTCTGCCGCCGACCTCCGGCCGGAGCTCGCTCCCGCCGACCCCTTCTCCGGCTTCTGGAAGGAGAACAAACTTTGGCTGGGTCTGAGCGACTCTCCCCGGCCGCTGCTGCCCGTCCGGAGGAAAGCTCTGCGCCCGGGGGACACAGCCTTGCTACCGGCCGCTCATCTACCTCACATTTTTAGTAAATACACTGGCCACAGCTACCCAGAAATCGCTCGGGCGCCTTGCAAACCCCCCGTAAACTATGAAACGGCGCCGGCAGCGGGCGGCTGCGCGCCCCTGCGGCCCCGCCG